ATATATTAGATGGCTGAAAGTGGATGATCTAATTTTTCAGTTCTGTTTTTTTTCTCAACACTAATATCAAAGCTTGCTCAAGGCATTCATTTGGTCATTGCTGTAGAAAATGGGAAATGGGGGAAATTTAAGGTCTTAAAATGCTTAGTTTTAATGTAAAATGTGCATTGCAATGAACCTTCATCACTTTTAACATCAACATGTAGACTTAAGAAGATTTTCTTTGTTCAGCTCTCGCTGCTGAAGTTAATGCACGCGGGAACAGATTTGGACCGTTCGATCATGGGCACGCGGATCACCTGCGTGGTACTGCATCAGCGTTCGTTGCCACGCGGCACGTCTTGGTTCGTTAGGGCTGTTGACCTGGCATCCTACGTGGTAAAAATTTTTTAAATTGTATTTTGATATCCGGTTTCTGATTTTTCTTTCAAAAATACTTTCAGAACCCAGATTTTCACCCTTTTTTCTCAAAATTATTTTCAATTTCATCGTCTATCACATTCTTTCATTTTTATACTAAATTAAAATTAAAAAAATTATATTTATAATTAAATTAATTTGGGCATTACACGACTAGAATCTAACTTATAGGCGGCAACCTCCATCATTTTCTCCCTTAAAGAGAGTGTTAAATTAGCCTTGATCTAGGACAATGGTATGGTCAACCATGTCGAAGTTAGTTAATTGTAAGGTCAATATGAAGATATTAGTTAAAGACAAAAAAGAGAATTCCGAGAGGAGGGACTTGTTCCTTAGTGCGCTTTAAGGTGAGAATATCCATTATGTTAAAGAGTTTAAGATAAAGAAGAGACTACTAATCTTGTCGATAAATGTGATAATAAAGCTAGTGTCAATATCAAACATCATTCTAGATTTGAAAGACTCCATAGTCTTATCAGTGGTGAGCTTTTTGAGGTCATCTTGGAAGAGGGAAATATCATTTACTATGATTAAAAAGAGGCTTATAGGGGTTGGTTATAGAGAAAAATGGAGGTTAAGAGAAGATGAGCTTAGGATAAGATAGGATGAGGAGGCATTATAGTGGAGGGAAGAGAGAGAGAGTAGGAAAATGGGACAAATTTATTAGGTTATGATATAGACGAGATGAACAAGAGATAAAAAAAAAGCATGATTTAAGTTGGGTGGAGTAAAAAAGGTTAAAAGGTTTGTTGACATGACATCCAAGTGGCCTGTTAATGTGGATGCCATGTCAATAGTTTCGAAACGAACATGATGTGGATATGAGTCACTAAACTACATGCCATTAGAGGAAGTTGACAAACATGAGAAATTTCGTTAACTTTTTTAAACAAAATACTTTAGGAAAATTTTGAATATTCTGGCCCATCACATAAAGTTTACAACAAATTAACTTTTTATTTATATCATAGTAACTTGAACTTTACAAGACAAAAGATT